AGGGCGGGTGCAGCGCGGGGCTGTTAATTCTCTCGCACCCACTCCGGCAGCTGGGTGCCTGGCATGGGCAGGTTTGGGCAGGAGGACAGTGGAGAGGTGATAATAACTTGTCTGTCATTTTCCCGGGACATGTAGCATCTTGCAAACCACAAATACCGTTAACCAGCTTGGGTGAATCTGTTACAACAGATTCTGGGAGATGGGGCCCGCAGTGGGGGCTTTTGTTTTTTCAGTGATTTTTGTAGCCCACCTTCACCCATCTTCCATGCCTGTGTGTGCATGTGTGCATTTGGAGACACATCTCTCTCCTCCCTTGGGTCTTGGACCCCTTTGCCTCAGGCCTTCCCCTTCCTAGACCCGGCTTCTGGCAGCCCATGGAGCTTGGCCCAAAACCTACCCAGTGGGCCTGGACCTGTCCCAGCACTGAGGGGCCTGGTCCACACTTCCCACATGGCGGTGACACCGGCCTGGCTGGCTCCGCTGTAGCCCTCTCTTATTTCTGTGTTTGGCAGAAGCTGTTAGGAGTGGGGGTCGGCAGAGAGGGGCGGGCATGCTGTGCGGTAATCCCGGCCTGTCTCAGGGTAACCTTTGTGTCAGACTGCACTGGTTGGAGATGGTGAACCTCAGCTGAGCTCCAGAAACCCAGGGCAGGGGCTCCTGTGGGAGCTGCATTGCAGTAACAGCCCTGGGCGAGCAGACAGGCCACTCAGAGTCCTCAAGGGCTGCTGGCTGGGTGGGGTTGGGCCAGAAAAGTGCCCCAGGGCAAAGCGGGCCTGGGGCCACCTGCCCCCCTGGGACTTTGAGCCCTGCAAGTCCCACAGGGGGCATGAACTCACACAGACCCTCAAGGGCTGGGAGACGCTGAGCGCACCCCTTCACAGTAGGCTCGGGGAGCCGAGGGCCCCAGTGTCAGGGCTGCACACTGCCCTGCTGGGGAGTCTCCAGAGTCCTAAGAGCAGGGCTGGGCTTGGTCTCCTCTCAGGGAGGGCCTGGGACAGCTGAACAGGGCTGTGGCCAACGCCACCCAGAAAGATCAGCAGGAGCTATCTGCATGGTCACTCACCAGTGGTTGGCTCGGACTTGGGCACAGGGCCCCACTATCTCCACAGGTTCCCACGTCCACCCCACCCCACACGGCCTCCAGCCCTCACGAGCAACTAAAGCTGCCTCCGCAGATGGCCAGCTAAGAGCGGGCAGATTGGACAGCACCCGCACCAGAGCTGCCTGGCCTTGAGAAATTTCGAAATCTGCCCCTGGTCGTCCTCCCGGGTTCCTAGCATACAACTCCTAAAATCTCAGGAATCTTCAAAGGGATGGTGCCTTTTTTATGCTAAGGAGTCTGCTGATGACTGCCCGCCCCTAGGTGGTTCCGGGCTGGGGGCTGGTCACGGGGAAGATCGTGGCTGGATTAGGGCGCTGGGACGTGCAGCCCTTGAGAGGAGGGTGAAGGCATGGGTCTGGCTGACCACCAGGCCAAGAGTGAACCAGTGAGGCCCACAGGAGGGCAGGGTTTATGCCCTTCCTGGGTGGCCGAGAGGTGGAGCTCCCGGAGGGCTCCGTGCCCCTCGGATTTGCCTTCTGCATCCATTGTAACAAACCAGCGAACCTACATTTTTTTTCATGCCCCCTGAGCTGCTAAGAACAGACTGGGCTCCTGGGGAAAACCACAGTGGCTGTGACTGTGGTTTGGAGTGGGTCCCCATCCCTCTTGTCCCTGTGGGGACAATTGCCACCAAGTCTGGGGAGAGGGGCAGGGCCGGTGGGGTCAGAGGGCACTCCAGCTGGGAGGCTGAGCTGAGTTTGGTCTTTCCCCTGTCACTGACCTAGCTCTATCACCAGACACACTGGCCTCACACCGCTGGGTTCCTGGGCGTCACAGCCAGGTGGGCAGAGCAGGGCATGGGCTAGGAGTAGCACGGCTCTGGGTGGGCCCTGTCCTGCTGGTAATGAGGACTGAGGACCATAGCTGCTGAGGGGGAGCTGGCCTTGGTTTTGTGAGCAAGATGCTATGAGTTGGCCTTGCCCGCCCTGTCCAGTGCTGGGGCCTTGTCAGGGTCTGGCAAGATGCCCTGCAAGGTGCAGGTGACACTGCTGCCAGGCAGCATGGGGACTCTGTCTGCTCTTATTCTGTGACCTGACCTCGGGAATAACGGGGCAGCAGGCAGAGCTCTGGGGACACAAATGACGCTGTGACCAAAGCACCACACTCACGCTTGGGTTTCCACGCCCATCTGCCCTGCATCTGGTTCCCCTGGCTGGCCACTCTACTGCCTCCCTTGGAGGCTCTGAGGAGAGGTGGTCTGGCAGGACCACTCTCTGGCTGCCCCCATACCTCACCCCACCCTGACCTGCAGCTGGCTTGGCCTGCCATCAACCGGCTCCTTCTATGGAGGAAAAACCAGGGGCCTCCAGCAGTGGCCATTCTGGGCAGTGACCCGGCCTGCTGCAGGTGGGCACAGCAGGGCCTGCAGCTTTGGGGGACAGTTGGGGGCAGTCAGGGTGATCATCTTTCTGCTTCTAAGGCAAGAGTTGGCTGGAATCTTAAGTTTCACTGATCTCATAAATGTTCAGCACAGCCTATGGCACAGAGGGTCCTGGTCTAGATCTCTGGTCCTGGCAGAGAGCAAAGACTGCCTAGAGCCAGGGCCCACAGTGCAGCCTCAGCCTCTGGCCCCACCTCAGCGTGTGCTCACAAAGCCCAAGAGCTGCATTTGGTCTCACACCACATGCTGCACGCAGAGCGAGGAGCTGGGGTATTGGCCGCAGGTGGCCCGGAGGCAGGGCTGGGCCCCCACAGTGTGCAGGGCTCTCTGCTGTCCTCTGTCCTTTCACCTCAGGCTTGCAGGAGAGATCTGAGAAGATGCCAGGCTGATGTCCCATAGCCAAGCCCTGGCCCGAGGGGGCAGGAACAGTGTCCCTGCCTCACCCCGACTCCGCACTCACAGCTCAGGGCTCAGTCACTCAGGAACCATCCTAGCTAAAGCTCAGTTCCGGGGAGCCTGGATGACCCGTGAGGGTCTCTCTCCCACTTGCACAGGGGGCTGCTGGAGTTGGGGTGCAGCGGGGCAGGGCAAGGCCCAACACAGGGAGAGCACATGGGACACCCTGGGCAGCCTCTTCCCTTTGGATCCCAGCACCCTCCTCCTGAGCCCCAGGGAGCTGGCCCTGGTCACTAAGTGTATGAACAAGGAATGGGGTAATGCGAGCTTGCTGTGGTAGGCTCCCCTGTGAGTCTTCCCCCAGCCCAAGCAGATGGACCTCTGAGGAGTCAGTGCCTCCTCGCCTTTGGTCATGGCTCCCACAGGCCCCAGACCCAAGGCGCTGGGAGCCTGGGCAGCCAGAGGGAGAAGGAAAGGGTTGCTTTCCTCTCTCAGAGCCAAGTCAGGACTCAGGCACAGGGGCGAGCCCAGCTGTCTGCAGTTGGCTGACGGTGACCTGCCTTTGGCTTGCCCTCTGGTCCCTCCTCTATGCGGAAGGACAGCAGGAGCACCTGCCCACCCCAGGTGCAGGCCAGGTCAACCCAGCCTAGAGCTGCATGTCTGGCTCCATTCTGGAAATTAGTCTTTGAAAATGGTGACTCCTCCTAGCACATAGCTTGGCTCATCCACTGCCCTGAGCCCATGGGTGGAATTCTGTCCCCAGGGGTCCTGCCTCAGGTCCCCTACAGGAGCCCCAGGGGTTTGAGGTGGGGTGTGGTGCCTCCAGGCCAACAGCTGTGCCTGCAGAAGGACTGTACCTCAAGCCACCAGGCCTCACTGACCCGGCCCTGCCCAGCCCCGCTGGAGTGTCTCACTCCTTTGCCTTCCGGAGCCCTCACGAGGTGAGAAATTGTGGCAATTTCTCCCTAAGTGCTCTTGTTTCCCCTAATAATCCACATTTCATCTCCACAATAAACATTGTTAGAACTCTTCCCTCGACTTTAAATACACATAATTGCTCCTGGTGCCAGTAAAAGGTATTAATTCCACTTATGCATTCCATAAACTTTTAGGATAACGCAACTGATACCACAGTCGTGTTGGGACACCTCTGCTATTCTCTGCCTACAAACCTCCGAGGGGCTGGAAAGTTTTCTGCGAATCCATTAGCGTTGAGTCAGCCTCGTCCTCCCTAGGAATCCCTCGCCAGGCCTTTGTCCTTCCCGCTCACCTGGCCCGGGGAGGGGGCTCTCACGTCACGAGGAGCTGACCCCCTCCCTGCACGTGACAAATCCAAGGGCACTGGGTGCTGCTGGGCTGTGCCCAGGCTTCTGTCCATCCAAGCCAACTGTGCCCCCCAACCTGCTCCCACAGCTGTCTCCGGGCTGTTGGCTGTGCCCCCAAGCCTGCCTCCAAGGTGCCCACTGATGCTATGCTGGGCCAGGGCTCCCGACTACCTGCGCAGTTGTAGGGCCCAGTCTCTAAACATCTTGCTGAGCCAGGCAGGGAGAGTCTGAGCCAGGGCTGGGCGGCTTCCAGGTGTTCAGGGCCTGGGTGTCCTGATGGGGAGAGGAAGCCACCCTACTCTTCTTTGCCCTGAGGAGGGTCTGACGGTCACAACACTGCCAGGTGGTGGAAGTCCTGGGTGGGTGGACATCAGGGCCTAGATGCCAGGCAAGAGCACCACCCATGTCCTGGTACCCACGGTATCCCAGGAAGGCCACAGAACTGACCACAGATATCCATGATGTCCTTCTCCATGGCCCAGCCCCAGTGGTCCCTGTCCACCCCATGTAGATGCCCATGGACACCAGGCCCTTGCTCAGAACGGTGACCTTTCCATGTCCCCCCAAGTCCCAAGTGGGTTAGGGACAAGCTCTGGCCAGGATGACTCACAAACAGTGAGCCTGTGGGTGCTGGGTCTCCAGGCACCAGAAACTGCCATGCTACCCCAGAAGCCAGCTCGTTTGTCCCTTCACAGCAGAGGGGACACCGCGGAGCAGAGAGGCGAAGCAGCAGCACAGTCCCGGCTCCAGCCCACTCTGCCTACTGCACCGCGCATGAAGCACTTTTCTGGCCCATGGCACCTGTGGGTCTGGTGGGTGAGGGGTGCTCAGAACCCTGGGCAGCAGCCAGAGAGACCGCATTTGCACAGTGTCTGTGGGTTTGCTTGAACGCCCAGGAGCTCAAGTCTAAGAGTATACACATGCACGAATGTGTGTGCAATCATATGCAAAGGTGCATGTACAGGCGAGCTGAGGGCTCAGGCTCCTGGTACACAGCAGGCCTGAGGTCCAGGAAAGCCAGCCAGGCTGCAGAGCCCATGGTGGGCCTGGTGAAGCAGAGGCCAAAGGCCCCATTCACACTGTGCACACTGGGGGCTGTGAGGGTGTTCATGCCACCCTGAGAGAGAGCAGAGGCGGCAGTCGATGTGGAATTGTACTTGAGAAAAATAGGAATTATCTATCAGTTACCAGCCGGTGGTGTGGCAGGAGCCAAGCACTGCGTATGTGGCACTGGGGCCTGGGCAGCAAGTCTGGGCAGCAGCCACGCAGTCAGACCCCTGAGAGCTGAGAGCAGGAGCCGCCCGCCTCTCCCTGGGAAGGGAGGCAGCCCTCGGGGGTCTGCTCCTGAGAGCCAAGGTGCCAAAACTCTCATTATCAATGTCGGTCCCACCTCCGCCCCTTGCGTGGACAGGCTGGGGAGGGGACCCCAGCAGGCGGCGGCAGCCCAGCCATGAGGGCGGCACCAGGTGGGATTGCACTTGTGTCCAGTCCTCCCCTGCCACTGTGTGACCGCTGTGTGGCTGCCGGCAGGGCTGACTCCTTCCCCAACCTATCAGCCAGGGGCCACTGAGGCCAGGCAGCTGGGAGCAATGCATGCATCGGATGCCACTCACCAGGAGTATGTAGAGCCCCAGGTGGGGAGGCAGCTGGCAGAGAGGCAGCCACTGCCCCCAGGACCAGCTCAGACCATTGCGGTGCTCTGAGCCCCTGGAGCACCTGCCCACAGCTGCCCGCAGGACTCCTAGGGACCCGATGACAATGCCCTGGAGGAGGGGCCAAGACCCTCCTCCCTCCAAGGGTCCAGAAAGGACCTAGGAACGTGAAAGGGGTGGCAGTGAATTTCCTGTTGCCAGTGGTTGCAGGCTTAGGGGTGCTCTGGGCCTCCAAGCTGGGTACAGGGACAATCCTGGTCCCCTCCCTCCAGCAGGGGCAGAGGCAGCTCCTAGGGTACAGCCTTGTGGGCACCCCAACACACACATTGTCATAGCAGCGAAGGCCATGATCCAGCTCTGCTGTAGCCACACAGACAGAATGCCCCTCAGCCCCGTGACCACCAAGCCTGACCGCTGACACTGGGCTGCCTTAGGCTCCACCCTGCCTGACCCTTTCACCCCAGGGCATGGGAAAATCTCCACTACCACCAGGAAGGCGATGGAAACTGCCATGGGACGCATTTTGTACATCAGAAGAACCAGTGTGGGGGACCTGTGCGTGCTCGTCAGGGGCAGCAGAACAGACTTCTCCACTCCAGGGTCCCTACTTTCAGGCAGGGATGGGCAGAGCCCCCAGGGAGGCACCAAGGGTGCCCATGCGGCCAGCACTCCCAGACAGAGTGCCCAGCCTTAACTGGCACTCTACATGGCCCCTTCCTCTCCCCCAGCAGTCAGGGCCGTGGTTCAGCCATTAGGGTCACCAGGTTCCTGGCCCAGACACCCGCTTTCCATCTGCAGGGCTGGGCAAGTGCTCTCCCTCCCTGTGCCTCAGCTTCCTGGATTATAGAATGGGGGAGAATAAGAGCTGCACCCAGTGGGTGGCTGGGCGGGTCCAGGAGTTTACTAATTTAAGGTGCTCTGCAGTCTGCACGTGGGATGTCCCCAGAGTTGGCCAAGTCCCAGCTACAGGCTGGGCTGTCCCTAAGGTACATGGGAAGTTGAAGTCCTCAGCACCGTGGTCACAGTGCCACCTCAAGGTCCCACGCCAGCCTGGAGATGACACCCCAGAGACGGCAAAGGCGGAGTCCAGCCCCGTGCCTGGCAGACAGCGGCTGCTCCAGGAGCCTCTGCCTGGAGCAGAGCAGGGAGCAAGCCAGAGCCGCTGCTGGGCACAGACAGCTGCCCCTGCACGGGGCCTCCACCCCTCTGGACCCTGTGGGCAGCGGGCAGCATCCATCCGAGGGTGGGCACGCCCAGACTGGCCAGCTGGCCTGCCTCCTGCCCCACATTGCCTACTGCACTGCCCCAGGATGCAGCTGCCCCCACAGGCTGCAGGGCGCGGGACACTCACCGTCCAGGTGGCCGACTTGGCTGTGCTGGACTGCTGGAACGTGACCTCGAAGTGGTGGGGGCCGGGGTAGTCGGTGTTGGAGGGGATGACGGGCGCCGGCGACATGGTGTCGAAGGTGGAGCTGGGCTGGGCGTAGGGTGAATGGGTGGGTACACTGGCGGCGTGCTCCGGGGTGTAGGGGCTGGCTGGGGCCGCGCGGCTGCTCATCTGGTCCATGGTGCTGCTGAGCAGATTGAACTGGGCCTGGGCACCAGGGGAGGAGGGGGAGACGGTCGGTCGGGCTGGGGGGACG